TAATAATAATAATAGTAATATGCATCATGTGCTATCAACGAAATAAATTCATGACGCTTGGAATGTTAGGCTAGCCCATTCTCTGATGTTGCATCATAGCCTAGGCTAACTTTTTTGGGATTATTATCTCTTTAGTCGTTGACCTTTCTCGTTTATCAAACAGGATGTACAAAGTAAACGCAAAGAACGCCGCCGGGAGAGGAACAAGCTCTCTGCACAAGCATACAGAAAGCGGAGAAGGAACCAGAACGCCAAAGAACAAGAGGTAAGCTACATTTCCATAAAAAGAAACTAATCTAGATCTAGATCTAATCACAAAAAACTATTCTTCATTATTAAAACAAAATGATTTCCCAAAATGATAACAAAAAGCAAAGTTACATCATGTCCATAAGAAGAAACTAATCACACAAAAACATTAATACAAAATGATAGCACAAGATTCCAGTTCTCAGTGTTACATAATTATTTTAGTAGGGCAGTAGGGCCTATCCATGCAGGGTTACGAGGGCACTGTACGCTAACTAAAACTTTAAAACTTAAAAAAACCTGTAGTATGACTATTATTGACTGTAGCCTGTCTATGGTGAAAGATAAGAGATCTAGATCTAGATCTAGATTTAGATTTTGATAGAGGATGTCAAACTCAGCTGCACAGGAGGCCAAAACTCAAGTTGCTTGTTGAACTAGATCTAGATCTAGATCTAGATGAACACTCTTTGAGCTGTAAACTTTTATAACCAAATGACTCACAGTAGACCGAAGGATTAATAACCAAGCCATTGCAATTTTTATTCTTTAGGCTATGTCAGTTTGTCCAGGCTGGATGCTTGGCATCTTTTCATGGCAACTCTACGTTAAAATGGACTGTTTAATTTTTAGGCAAAGACTAGATTCTAGATCTAGATCTAGATTCTACATGCGACATCTTTACACTGCTTTTTTTATTAACTTTTCTTTTGAAAAATTCTGTTACAATACTGATACTCAGAAATATGTGAACCTTTGCTGTAGGGTGGCTTTCGCTCCTCTTTTGAGTGTATGTATATATACACATAATATAGCAAGTGTAGGTTTTTCATGCTTTGGTTCTCTGTAGGCTCTGCGGTAATAATTTTGTGGGTGTCAAACTGGACTGTGATGTTGATGGTAATGGTTAGTATGCCAAACAGGGCTTTTGTGAAATGTGTTTTTTTATTTTAAAAGTTTTTCCTAGTCTTTGCTTTGTTTTATTGGAGTGGTGCTTAAACTAAAGGTCCCATCTCTTGAATTATTTTAGTGTTGAAATTGATGTTAAACCATTTCATAGCACACCTCAGAGATATATATATTTCCATTTCTTTATTCTTTCAGCAATTGCTAAGCCTTGAAGCAGAGAACAGACGACTGCAGAAATTGGTGGACACACTGGAGAAGAAGAAGGAGCAGACGAGGCAGTATCTGCGGGGCTGTTCTGTGTCCATGCCAGATGTATTGACCACTCTTGGGGCTGAAGGCGGAGACAAATGCTGCGGAGAGACACATCGTGCATCAAAAGAGTCCACATCTGCGGCAGCTGCAGCACAGCTGGACCGCTGTCGTATGACACACCCCCGCGAGTCGAAAACAACACAGCACAAGCAGTACTCTCTCAGCGCATGTCCTCCTCCCCAACAGCCACATGAAATCCTCATGCCCAACTCATCCCCTGTCAATGCGAATGTTGCTGCTGCAGCTGCTGTTAAGTCTCCCTCGACAAATTCTAATGAGAATAGCAACAATGTGTCCAAATTTAATTTGTTCCCTGCCCAGCTTTTGACGACAGATTCCCTGACAAAGCCTGCTCAGACATCTCAGTCACAGATCTTTCTCCAGGCGCACGCCTTGATTGGTACTGCAGTCACCCCACAAGATGGTGCAAACTTCTCAGCTTGTGCTATCCCAGCCTACGTCGCTGTGCCCGTGGAGAACACCACCCAATATTTTGCAAACACAAACATGAACTGCAATTTTCAAGTTCCACGCCCATTGGAGTCCACATCAGGAAATTCTCCCGCAAAAAATTTTGAGGATGCCAAACTGGCTGCCTCAAGTCTCTTCAACCCCAACACAACCATGTGCAACTCTCCAACAGTGATGAACCCTGTTCAAAACATTACTGCTGCTAGTCCTGTGGCTGTCCAGGCTAATACTGTGGTCGGCCTTATTCAAATGGAAATGTGCAATAATAACGCTGATAATAATTTCACTGTGAATATGAATATTGATAATAATGGCAATAACAATAATAACTGTGATAATAATTCAAATAATTGTGTCAGAAAAAATCCTCCTTTCCCAGCTTTTAATCTGAATCTTAATAATTGTAATGCAGAAATCACTAGTACAAATGTTGAGAAGTGTACCGAAAGAGCTGCTCGTGATAGAAATCCAAGTGAATTGATGCAGTGCTATGGCACTCAACATGATCAGGCTATGGCTATGTAAATGTCAGAAAGGTCACTGATGCCTGATGCTGTCACTTGGTGGCAAGTAATTAGATCTGAATCCTCTTTTTTTAGGTGTTCGGAAAAAAGTTTTTCTTAAAAGAAAACCTGATTTCTCTACTACCCCATCTGATTTAAAGTTCTACTTTTTTTTGGAGAGGATTATGAGAAAATGTCTTAATGATTTTTGTCATGGCAGGGACACTTCTTCTTCTTCTGATGTCTTCTGCTGCTGCTTTGATCATGAATCCTTGCACCTTTATGTTCTGAGCTCTCTTATTTTGTAAGGTTTGTTGCTTTCAGGTGCTGCCTGGCAACTGTGGTATAGCAGTTACATGCGTCACTGTGGTATCCAGGAGACTTTAGTTTCATTTTAGAGTGTGGAGAATCTTTATTGAGTATTTGGGTCTTTCTTCTGGTTAATCTATTTTATGATCTCTCTGAGCCCAGGTTGGCTCTTGACAGGCAGGGTCAGAAGCTTGCCTTTTAAATGATCTAAATTGTGTCGACGGGAACGAAAAAAATACCTGTTAAAAAAAATTTCAGGTGCTGAAGCATTCATGTGGCAACAGTCCTGTGTTGGGCATTTAGTGAGAACGAACAAACAGTTTTGTCTAATTAAAAAATAAATTTAATGAAAAAAATTAGAGATTTTGTGCGATAGATGATGCTGACAACATGGGGGATTAATTAAGTCATGAGTTTTTGATGTGGTGACATTAAATAAAGAAAGAGGTTATCTTTTGATTTGTAGTAGGTTTTTATTTCAAATTTTTATATTTTCTAGTGTGTTGTATTACTGATTTAACACTTTCAGTCAGCTGTCTTTATTGTATCATTAATAGCCTTTGTGCTTTCAACAGGCTTTCAAGTAGATTTCTACCAGGGTTGGTGATTTTTTTGATTTTTTTGATAAAAATAAAAAAAATCGATTTTTTTGATTTAAATCAGATTTTTTTTATTTAAATCGGATTTTTTTGATTTTTTTGATTTAAAAAAAAATGTCGACACAGTTTGGGATTTTTGGTGGCTAAAAGTATGTTCTTTTAGTGCAAAATGCATTGTCTTTATTTTAACTAATGATTAATTTAAGCAACTGCAATTTTAGAAAGCCTTAATCTGCTATATCAGTGAATTATGGCTACAGACAAAAAATGAAGAAAATGTCAGTCTAAAAGGAAAGGGGGGGGGGGGGGGGGGGTAATTATGCATAGATAAACTTGCATTTTATTTTTTATTACAGTGTGTGTGTGAGCACGCGCTTGTGTTTGTCTAAAAAGAAAAAGAAAATGCTAATTTCAATTATGAAAAAAAGTAAATTGAATACTGTATTATTTTACTACTTACAGTGACAGGGGGGGAAAGCAGACTTTTATTTTTAGGCAATTTTAGTCTACTAAACCTTATATCTCTTTTATAAAACCAAGGAAAGGAATTCTGAATGTTTAAAGATGTAAAAGCAGAAAACATTTTTTTTAAATGATTTAAATCACTGAGTTTTATTTTTAAAATCAAGTTGATTTAAATATAAAAAAATCAACTGATTTAAATCGACCCGATTTAAATCAACCCAACCCTGGTTTTCAATTATGAAAAAAAAGTAAATTGAGAACTGTATTATTTTGCAGTGACAGGGGGGAAAGCAAACTTTTAAGCATGATTTTATTAGTCTACTAAACCTTATATCCGTTTAAAATAAAACCAAGGAAAGGAATTCTGAAAGTTTAAATATGTAAAAACTGAATATATTTTTTTGAAAAGTGAATTAAGTCACTGATTTTTATTTTTAAAATCAAATTGATTAAAATTCTTTAAAAATCAACTGATTTAAATCAACCCAGCTCTGATTTCAATTATGGAAAAAAAAGTAAATTGAATACTGTATTATTTTACAGTGAAAGGGGGGAAATCAGACTTTTAAGCATGATTATATTAGTCTACTGAGCCTTATATCTGTTTTATGAAACCAAGGAAAGGAATTCTGAATGTTGAAATGTGTAAAAACCGAATAAAAAAAAATAAAAAAAAATGATTTAAATCACTGATTTTTATTTAAAAAATCAAGTTGATTTAAATTAAAAAAATCAACTGATTTAAATCAACCCAACCCTGATTTCTACATCTATGTCTGTTGAGTGATTGTATTTCTCTTTTTAAGTAATCTCATGAAATCAGAGAAGGCAATGACTTTCTTCTGAATGATGAGACAGATATTGAAGCAGTTATGTTATGGTTTACATGAAGTGTGTGCTTGTGTGCCATTCTGTGACTGTTGTCTACTATGACATCTCTGGCATCAAGAACTCTCATCGAGATCACCAAAAACTGGGAGGTTTTGCTCCTCATCCTCCTTGGCTTTTTCTTTTACAAATATCTTTGAAATAGATGAAAGCATGCATTGGGTCATGTTCTGACCCATCATCATTTGTACCGGAAAAGATTATGAAAAAACATTTCAAACAGATATTAATCTCTATATTTGTTTTAAATACTTTAGTGTTTCTGCAGGGAAAACTATATATTGTTAAGTAATTTGTTGTAAACCTAACTGTTTATCAGAATGATTCCGGCAACTTTGTTGTTTAAAATTGTTTATGATAACATAATTGCTAATATCCAATGTTAAAAGTCTATCCACTACAATATTTTTATCCTATAGACATGGACTGAAAGGTTTAGGTATACCAATGATATGTTGTTTGAAATGTGACATTGATATGGGACATTTTGGCAGTGTTAAAATACTTGTATTCTTACTTTTCCACATACTTATGTGATGATGGCCTATCACTGTTTCTTTAGATTTCTTTCTCTTGGTAGACTGATAGCTGGTAATGTTTTTTATGTTTGCCTGCTAATTGATTTGGAAAAAAAAAAGCGACAAAACTTAATTAAGATTAAGAAACAAAAACGTTTTTAAAGTTTGGAAAAAAAACTCCACTTGAGAGATTGGAAGGATCTAATAGTGAGAGAATGATTGCAAAGTAACATGTTTTGAGTGGCTAATTCTCATTCTGGGCTGGTGCTGAGGGCAGACTGATATTCTTTATAATCAATAACTCTGACAATTTCCAAGTGAAAATTGTTTCAACACGGGGATGACATCTTTTGTAAACATGCAGGGTACCACATCCTACTCTTGTCAAGAAAAAAAAAGAAGGTATTTTTACTTCCTGCACCTTTCACCATTACAATCGTCATCCTCTCCTGCAGTCTGTGATATGGGTGAAAATCTTGCGATTTTGTTCGGAAAGGCATTTGATGTTTGATAATTGATGTTTGTTGATGTTTTTGAATTCTGTGAACATTAAAAAAAAAGTTTGAACAACAATAATGAAAATTATTGAAAAAGTGGAATTCTGTGTCAAAGTCAAAGACTCAAATCTCCCTCTCAAAGACAGGAGATAACTTACACCTGGATTACTGGAGTTTACACTTACACCTGGATTACTGGAGTTTACACTTACACCTGGATTACTGGAGTTTACACTTACACCTGGATTACTGGAGTTTACACTTACACCTGGATTACTGGAGTTTTCAGACTTTTGCTGTTTGTTGTTGTTTGTCACTGAAACATTCTATCTCATCTCGTTCTCCTAGTTTTCCTGATTTGATGACAAACCATGACCTGATTCTGTATTGATGTGTCTGATGTTTCTGAACGGTGTGATTGCATCAGAATCTATTGGCATTTTTTACTGGGAGCTGTTGTGGATCTTTCCAGAAGACCTGGATTGCATCAGAAATACTTCACCTGCAGGCTGTTGTAATATTTGCAGCTTCTTTAATCAGCACAAAACTGCGGAGCCAGCTGTAGTTAGAAATGAAAGTAGGATGGGATGGGGTGGCTGAGGAATCAAGTTAATAAAGTTATACAGTATTAGAACAAAGAAAAAAAGCACACTGCAAGTGGCGAGTAAAAGTATGAGTGTTTTTTTCTTTAGTTGTGGAAAGTTTGTTCCCTTTTCCTTTTTATTGTTTTCTTCCTGGACTATTTCTCCAAATGAACCTCAGATTGTAACGAACGCCATGAGATCAGCATCTTACATCTTTGTATCATTTATGATGATGTTAATTATATTCTATGATAATTGATATATGATGAATTCCTTTTACTTACATTGTATTTTGAAGTTTGAAAATTTTGCATAAATAAGTTTGCCTCACATATTAACTGCATCATAATTTGTATATAAAAATTGTTGTATTGATGGTATCGAGACGAGTGCGAATGATATTGTAACACATATGTTTCTTAACTTTATCTTCGGCACAGAAGTGGTGTTTGTCAGATTATCTCAGACATTTTGATGGTGAATTTTAGTTTTTGTTCTATGATGATGAATTATGTCCGTGTCATTTCATATTGGATTGATTAGATTTTTGTTAAAAGCTAGTTTTATTTTTTTTTTTGAGAAGTGGAAAAGTTTGGGGAAATCTCTGATTAGGATTTTGAAAATAGAAATAGAAACATATTTTTCGACGATTGACTTTTATTTCTCAGTAGTTTTCTGACACTTATTCTGCTGACTTTTAGATTTCTAAGAAGTTGCAATAGTGAAGGTTTGTCTAACGTTATTCGGGTGTAAAAAGTCTCCAACTATACTGAAAACAGTTTGCTGCATTTTAATATCTTAAGGGTAGGAATCTTTATTTCATTTCATCTTTTCATAGTTCCTAGACATCACTCAAAACTTTTTACAAATAATTGTATTTGAATTTATAATATGTATGGGTTTTTTTACCTTTGATTTTTCGCTTGCGTAAAGTGACATGTAAATAAAATTGAATAAAGTCTTAGCTTTATCGTCGTTATTAATCATGTGATAGGATTCTGAGGAACTGAAAGCTTTTTGTTGTATTCTACTTAAGGAGGCATGGATTGCATCTTTTGCCAGTGGATTTGGAATAGCAGAAAAAAGAATCGCATGAATGTCAATGTCAGAGTAGCTCTTATACTTTTGACTGGTGTACCATACTTTCAAAGGCGTACTTGTACATGATCATCTTTTGCTTTACTGCAGTGTGGTACTGTTCTTTTGTACTATTCCTTTGAAGTTTTGTCAGATATTTTATCAAATTATAGACAATATAAATGGCTGAAGTATTATGAGAATGTTTTAATGTTGACTGCATACATTTTCATTCTCCCCAGGTTCTCTTTGCCTTATACAAACGCTGACATGTGCAAAGTTTTCCAAAGCGCTTTGGAGACTAGTTTCATTTGCCAATAACTACATGGGCACCCGTGCAGCTCAACTACACGGTTATGCCTTCACTGTTCGTCTCCACATTCCTGACTCACATTTTCAGTCATTGTCCGTCAGTGCCCTGATTCTGTCATCCACCTTCCTCCCTTCCTTTAATGACTTGACCGTGGTCTTTTTCAGAGCAGTACTTTGCTTCTTTGTTGTTGCTGTCCTTTACATTTGTTCTTTATTTTTTTGTTCTATGTACTTTTTTCTTGCATTCTGGCTGTGTTGTTCATAAACAGAATGACTTTCTAATACCTCTGACCACCAGTGCTTTTGGATATATGGGAAATCTGATATCCACTCTTTTGTGCTATGCTTTTTTAATATTGTTTCGAGGGAACTGACTTGTGGCTCAATGTCCAAAGTTAGTGATGCTGTTTGGAAATTACCTCTCTATAATTCAAAGCTTTTTAGTTCAAAACCACATGTGTAAGGTACATGTGCCTTTTGATATATTATATGTGTATTTAGTTTTCCATATATTGAAGTAGTCTTTTTTTTTGCATGCTGTTAAGCTATCAGATTTGTTTTTAAAAGAATAACCAAAAAAACATGTCCTAATTGCTCACTCTGCATAACTCCAGAGTGTTCACTATGTGCAGACTTGGTGGTATGTTAATATTTTCCCTGATCAGACTCTCTGCATTAATTCCTCCTTTTGTTTCTTCATGCTGTCATTTCAGCTGCTCTTCCCTCTAGTCACTTCGTCCCACGCAACCTTGGACCCACTCTGAATGAGTTCTTTGAATTCTCTTCCGTTTTCTCGTTTCATCATCTCAAGTTTTTAAGTTTCTGGGCTTGCGTCCTGGAACTTCTTTGTATGCTTTGGTACTATTTTTCCTCATTTTGAATGCTCTAGACCAGCACATAGCCCCTCACTATTCACTGAGATGGTCTGCTCTTTAAAATCTGGTAAAATCTATAATAATTCTTACGTTTTATAGATCATATGAAATAAATAACATGTTTTGTATTTTTCCACTTGAACATTTAATTTTGCAGATATAATATTTGTATTGCTGCTCGACTTCATCAATGTATGCATATTTTCATTGTCCATGATTTTACTCAGTCAAGCATATATTATTATTATGTACATGTAATGAGTGACATACATATGTTTTGTCATTGTTCACACTCTTGGTAGCATTGAATTGTTTCTTAGTTAAATACTTTTGTATTTTTTATTTTGTGAAATGTAATCATCTTCCTTTCTTGAAACAAAAAATAATTGTAACACAAAACTCATACTCCATTGTTATTGATTTTTATTGACAAGTCTTTCATTCATATAATTTGCAATGGTAAACTGCAAATTGTCAAATAAATCAGCTGTTAATGAAATATTGGCTTGGTTCTCTCTGTTTTTATGTCAGCGTTGAAATCTTATGTGGTGTTTGCTGTTGTTTGGTTTTCGTTTCATTTTCATGCTCATGTTGTTGTTGTAATGATAGTGGTCTTGATAGCCTTTTGTGTTGTTTTCTTCCAGTTTCTTGTGCCCTTATATTTATTTATGCTACAATTAAGTATTCCATATTGATGAGAAAACACTGTCTGAAGGTGCTTGGAGAGTGTCAGCCGGCGGTTGGTGGGTGCTCTGGTGGTTTGCTCCTTAATCTCTTTCCTATCAAACATCTATCGACCTTATCTCTCCTCCTTCTTTTTGGTGTTTGTTGCTCTCTTGTAACACCGCTAATCTTTGGTACTTATGACCTTAATGTGCTGTAAGAGCCGTAAAACCTTGACTAAATAAAACTAAAAGAGAGCGCTACTCGCCCTTTCTCCTTTCCTTATAAATTTGTTTCTGCCCCTCTAATTAAAAAAAAAAAATCTTAACTGAAAGAAGGTGATGGTTCGTGGTGTTAGATCTACACTTTACAGGAGGAATCTGAAGTAAATGAAGGCGAAGAGCCACACTTTACTTCCTCGAATCGGTTCACGTTCAGAAATGAGAGAGCACCGCCCTTATTCAGATCAAAGTACAAAGCAGAGCTCTTTTTTGTTTCTTCATTTCGACAATTTCATTGTACAGAACTACATCTAGTACAAGGAAACATTTTTTTCCTGACTCTGATCAAGGCCTTCTGTTGTGACACATTTTGTTAGCCTATGTCAAGTTACTGACAGTGCCAAAATGTTCTTCTAAATTTACGTGTAATCTACTACAACTACAAGAAATTGTTCCTCCCTCCTACTCGGGTGTCCTGTTGGGGAACGTGTTCTACTTTTGAAATGACCCAGGCCACTCTTTGCGGAGTTTATGGCGAGCCCATCAAGGACCTTTGAACAAGGTTGCTGTATAACCCCCTGAAGCGAACCTAGTCTAGTTTGAGACTACAGTATTGTGTGTGTGTGTGTGTGTGTGTGTGTGTGTGTGTGTGTGTGTGTGTGTGTGTGTGTGGTGTGTGTGTGTGTGTGTGTGTGTGTGTGTGTGTGTGTGTGTGTGTGTGTGTGTGAGAGAGAGAGAGAGAGAGAGAGAGAGAGAGAGAGAGAGAGAGAGATTCTTGTCAACTTGTCAATAGTGCAGCCCAATAAAGGGGCAGCCCAATAAAAGGGGCAAATATCTCGTGTGAAACCCCCCCCCCCCCCCAGAAAACCCCGAAGCGAACAGCCTGGGCGAGGCCTTTGCCTTGGCATAGATCTAGTAAAATACCGGAAGTTAATTCTCGTATTGAAATTGAAATGTTGGTTGAGTTGATCATCCATCACTCACTGCCAAAATGGAGGAGGATGCAGTGGTGGTCTCAGATGAACTGCGTGAAAAATATATTTGCAGCTATTTCTCTCAAACAAATCGATTGAATAAGTCTATTCTAACCCAGGAAAAGTCTTTAGCTAAGTATCTCGGCGATCGTTGGAGTGACCTGCCGCAAGATCGTCGGGATCTGCTCTTAGATTTTTTACTTGTTGATGATGAAGTGAGGGGACAGTATTCTCAAAGCTCACAAGCCCAAGATGTTGCGGGACAGCCGTCGTCTGCTGTTGAAGTACAAGAATCGTTTCCAAGACTTTTTACTAATTCAGGCCAAAAGATCAATGTTGACTTCGAAAGTGATGTGAGTATATTTTTGAAATTCTGCTCCGTTGTTTTGAACTCGGACTGAAAATAATCCTTGAAACTGATAGAAGGCCCAAGACTTGAATTACTCTGCTTGGAGTGAGGTGTTGGTTGTCAAGTGTGAGTGTTGACATCTGATAGCCAATAATAATAGTAGGTCTAGATCTAGAGCTAGACTCTAGATCTAGATCTAGATCTAGTACTTAGCGTAGAGTTCTAGGGTTGAGTCTACAAGTGAACACAGACACAAAGGAAAACAATGTTGTTGTTGAAGAATATGAGGACTTGAGGTTCTGAAGTAGATCTGTCTAGATCTAGGCCTACATATAGTGTGTGATGGACGTCGGAGATGACGAGTGAGAGATATAATTTCTCTCGTCAGCTGGCCCATGCTATTTGCGCGAAATCTGTGACCTAGTTCCTCGAAACTGTTTCACACCATACATTTAATGATCTGTTCCTTTCGAAGTCACTTCCCGTTAAATTTTCTGGACTAGATTTAGATATAGATCTAGATTCTAGATCTAGAATCTAGTTAATATCGGAGACAGAGGGAGGAGCTAGGAGTCATCTCTGTTAATGGAAGTGGGGGTAGATTTATATGGTGAAGTTGATCATTAAATGAGCGCATAATTAATCAATTGGTATTTTTTTACTTTCCCTCCCGTCTCACACTCAGCTACCAGTTGTCTATTTTCTACTAAATATTGATGCGCTGAACACCAATATCAACTTCATTTCCGTCGCAAATTAATGGTTTTTGAAATATTTGATTGTTTTTAACCGAGATAGACATGCTTTGGACCAATCGGGGGGTTCCAGGGGGGCCTGCCCCACTGGGGTAAAAGAAAATCTGGGGGGTTACAGGGGGGCATGCCCCCCTGTTTTTACACCCATAATTTGATATTTTACAGTTAGATTTGAAATTGTCTTGAAAATAATTGATTTGCGTCAGTTTTAGTGGCTTTATGTGTGATCTGCAGCAAACAGTACAGCAGTTTGACCCCTGAAACAGTGCATCTGTGTGCGGGAGTGAAAGTAAAAATTTACCAATCAATTCATCAAATTTATCAAGGAAGGTGGAAGAAGAAAAAGAATTTAAAAAAAGTTTTAGTAAGAGTTTTACGACACTTGTAGCACAATAAGGTCATGGAATATAAGTGCCAAAGAATAGTTGCGTTACAAGAGAGTTATATATATACATAAAAAAGGAGGAGGAGAGATATAAGGACGATAGATGTTTGATAGGAAAGAAGGAGCAGAGGAGGAGGAGGAGTTAGAAGAAGATACTGACCAAGAGGAAGCATACAGTACGGTATGTTTTGAATTTTAAATCAAAATCGTGACTAGAATTACTAGAATGTTCTGACTCCATGATCTTTCATGTGTGGATGTGGGTATGACGTGACGGTAAAGAAAGAGAGTCAGACCAAACCCCTTGCTTAATTTACTGTGAAAACAATACAGTGATCCTTCGGTTGTGAGGAACAGACTATAGTTCTTGTACGACGTGAAACTTTCACCCGATACCTGACCCCAATCTCGCCTGAATTGAGGAGTGATGCGTCTCTACTTTTTTGTCTCCGATGAACGTGTGAACGACATGTCTATGAGTGTATGAGCCCTGATGGTGTGATTAAACCCGAAATTATTCAAAATTCTTAATAAAATAAAACGTGTTCAGCATTTTTTAACAAGATCTTCTGCTCTTTATGCTCTTTCTCTATGTTAAACTATACTATTAATATATTTAAGTATTATTGTTATTAACAATTCTGCATGTCGACTGTGTACCTGTTTGAGAGTGTAAGCAAAGGCCTACTACTTTTATTTGTGAGGTGAAATGAGGCGCTAGTCAAAATGATGAAATATAAGAAAACACCAGCATTTTTCTGGGTGTTAGGTAATTTTTTTCTAAATTTCTATTTTTGTGCAACACTTTGTCCTTTTGTAATGAACATATGTTACCGAAAAACGTTCATTAACCCTATCCGTACGCCTGGAGTCTTTTTGTACCACAGAGGTTGTATTCTTCACATTTTAGAATTCTTTGAAACTTTCAGTATTTCTCCAAAAGTCTTTTTGATAGACTGCTATGCAAGGCATCAGGCTTACGGATAGGATTAATGAGTAGATTTCCTCTTTGGAAAGTGGGGGCACATAGTTCCCCACATCGTGGGTATGGTAGTAAAACACGACGTGCGGACTGGGTTAAAAGCACGAAAAATATTTCCACTTTCCAAGGACTCTCAAGCTTTGGAAGTCACCACACTTTGGCGGTCATTTTCTCGCCAGTTTTATCTCTCATTCCAGGTGACCCCACCACCTGCTATCGCAAATATCTGGATTTTGATGCGAGGTAGTATAAAAAGGGTATTTTTGTTTGCCAAAATGCAAGACAAATGAACAAGTTTTAAGATGATATTAATAACTCTATTATAATGCCCAAAAATTGACGAACGTTCGATTCCAATGCGTCATGACGCATTTTGTTATGTTTATGTTTACAGATGTGTGTGGAGGAGAGGATGTGTGTTTGTGTGTGTTGCGTGTGTGTGTTGCGTGTGTGTGTGTATGTGTGTGTGCATATGTGCTTGTGTGAATTGTGTGTGTGTGTGTATGTGTTTGTGTCTGTGTGTGTGTGTGTGCGTGCGTCCGTGCACACGCCTACGCGCGTGTGGTGAAACACTAAACCAACAATGTGCCAGGATCTGGACAATAAAGATTTATCTTATTATCTTTTCATAGCTAGCTTCAGTCGACTAAAGAATATGAGTTGATATTGTTGGGGAGTGAAGAAAAGATCACCTCATCCAAAGTTCAGTTTATCCGTCCGGAACACAAAATCAAGGGGAAATATATATTTAACAAAATCCTTTGCCCTGCTTATTTTAATTTGAGCGTTTTAGTAATGTGGTCAAAATGGTGATGACAGGAAAGGTTACAGAGCAATTCATTTCATTAATCATAGCGAGCTCATGTGTGTGTGTGTGTGTGTGTGTGTGTGTGTGTGTGTGCATGAGAGAGAGAGAGAGAGAGAGAGAGAGAGAGAGAGAGAGAGAGAGAGAGAGAGCTATATATAATAAATAAATAAAATTAATAAATACCGGTATATTTGTCTTTGTCGAGATAACAACAAATAACTACTGATAGCAACAAATAACCAATGATAACTACAAATAACAACTGATAACAACAAATAACAACTGGTAACAACAAAATATCGACAAATATCAACACAAACGTCCTAATTTATTTTTTTTCCAATAAATTTCTATTTGAATCTAAACAAAAAAACGGACGGAACTCGGGTCGTCACTAAAGAGTAGTCTGCTTCCGCTCCTTCCAGTAGTTGCTTGGAGTTGTGCACGCAAAGTAGGGGCCTGGTTGACCTCATGAATACTGATTTTTGAGGCTGGAATCAAAGTATTTTTGTATTATCAGTTATTTGTTATTTGTTGTCAGTTGTTATTTGTTGTTATCTCGACAAAGATAAATACTGAATGTATACAACCCTTGCTTACTTGCACTTGCAGGTGGGAGTAAAAAAGCACTTAAACTCAAGTGTCATTTATGTCTGAGCTCAACTAAACACAACAGTTTGACTCAAACAATTGTAAAAAAGAAGAGGTGTTGGGACTCTAGAAAAAGATCAACTTAAATGAAGATGAATTCAAGTGGAGTCCATTGTATGTTCTTAATAAAAAAAACATTTTGTTTAGTTACCTTGTTTAACATGGTTATGATTTTTCCCTGTAAGAGACCTCAAGAAAAGTGTTTTGAAATTTGTGCAGTTTTAAAGAAAGCATCGATATGAAGTTCTTTACCTCTGTCAACAAAAGCATGCTACTGATTGCAGCAACACCTGCCTGAGCCCATACTTTTACTTTCAGATACTTGTAGATAAATAATATGCTGTTGTGCAATTAGTTTATTTTTGTTCCCAAGCATCCCATGGGAACTCTTTGAACGATAGTTTTTTTTGTCCAAGTTCAAAATGTTATCTATCTTGAAAATCAAAGAATTTCTGTACAAAATCATTTCTGATTGTGTTGTGGCTCCAACAATAGATCTGATATTAACATGTTTTCAGTTTCTGTTTTGATATATTAAGGATACATGCTGGAATTGAATCAGCTGAATTGAGTTGCTGTTTCAGTTAAGTATCATGTATCACAACAAATGGTCAATTTCTATGTCAACTAACACAATGTTCTCATTTCCCAGCTGTGGACCTGGAGGGATGAACATTCTGGACCATTCTCGTGGTACTCCAGGGTGAGTTGAAAGCAATTCTCTCAATGAATTACAAGTTTAACTTTTGATTTCTTCTCAAAGATGTGAGTTTTTTTAGCAAACAGAGAACAACAACAATTCAGAGTTGAAAATATAGAGTCACTGATGACAAGTGTTTGATGTTAGTTTCTTGACTTTGCCTTCTATGGCTCAGATATGGCATTGCTCAGATATGGCACGTTTGTAACGTTTATGGATTGGTAATGTAAAATGACTGTGTATCCCTGTGATAAGTCATGACAAAGTGTGACAGGCAATCAACATATATTATGTAATGATCGACATATAGGCCAATTGTGCATTACGTGGTCTAGGGTAGATAAGGTTTGACATTGTTTTGGGTCTTTGATTTTTCATGCACAAATAGCTTGTATGTAGATGCTGGGCTTTTTAAAGGCAGGCTATTTCACAGAGTCAGAGTTGCTTGGTTAAACTTAAAGGATTTGATCAGTTTGAAGCCTTTTGCTGATAGTTATGAGGCATTTTGTTGATTGTAGTTATAAATAACAGGTGACATTAATTCTTTCTCCTTTTGGTGAGTTAGAGGTCTTGTTGAGTGAGAAGTCAGTAGCTGCAAGGTTCACTGTATATATATATGTAGTAAGAATATTTTGGAATGGGAATAGCGTGACTCAAATTTACTCGTATGGATGAATCTTACGGATGAAATAAGCGTAACAGCATTTGTCTCTTTGTTTGTTGTCACCTTCTGGCTTGTGTGTCAAAGCAAGTCATTGTTCATTATGACCTGTTGTGTATTTCCCGTTCATCCTCATATGTTTCCCAGAGTCAGCAAGACTTGACATTAATGGACCTGGAGCCGGACAACGTCTCCAAACCCCAACCCAAGACTGCCCGAGTGGACACAGAGGCGGAAGAGAACGTGAAGAAAGCCGAGGCTCAGTTTGGCTACCCCAGCAGCTCATGGTGCCACGACGTGATCAGCGAGTACAAGAAGCATGAGCGAGAGGTCTCCGTGTCCCCCACCACTTCCATGAACTTCTCCGCTGCTGCTAGGGTGGAGGCCAAGCCCGAAGAAGTCAACCCAGCGTTTGAAGGAAGCTGCGAGGATTTACCAGCAACAGCAGACAGCGCTCAGGCTGTAGAAAAGGAAGGGCAGACAACTGCTTGTAACTCGGGTCCAGAGAAGAAAGGCAGGGGCAGAGACAGAAACAAGAGGTCGCCATCCCCTAAGAAAATACTGCGCTCCGGCAGTGTGAAAAAGTCTCCATCTCGGAGTGGTGAGCAGCAGCTGATCAGTAGGGAAGATGCTGATGCGGACGACAGTCAGCACGCCTTTAGCAACCCTGTCATGGAGTCAGAATGGTCTACATTTGTCGGAGATGGAGGCCAGGAGGCGTACTCTTCTCCTGAGCCTGTTGCCATGGTGACCACGGCGCCAGAAGGCATGAGCATGGAGCGAGGTGCTGAGCCGTACTGTGACTCTCCCTACAGGGGAGATCAGGATTACCTCTTGCAGCATTCCGAGTCTCCGTCGCTGAGGAGTACGGCAGCGGCCACGAGCTCCACACAGCTGTCGCACAACTGGTCGGAGGAGAGCACGCCGGACCACAACACTCACCTGCTGAAAGGGTTACAGGTGAGACCCACCAGCATTTCTGGAATCATCATTGCTCTCAGATCCTTGACATACGTCTATAATTATATTATCTTGAATATATATCTGTCTGTAACAAGTAACAGTTACATGTTATGACAATTATGTAAGTAGTACACTTTTGGACACTATCATACGCACTTTTTTCTACTAATCTAATCAGATGGCGTTAATATTCTAGAAATGGGCAAGGGACCCCCCCCCCCCAAAAAAAAAAAAAAAAAAAAAAAAGATTACAGGTGAGATTTTAGTGTTCACATGTCTCGGTTTGTTGTAGGAAATAGGTGTCAGTGGGAGTCTGATGAATCTCTCTTTGTTTTCTGATTCTGTGAGAGGCGATGGTCTCTGAGAGCTCACTGTTGGGGGAGGGGTTCCTGTTTTTTTTTTCTAAAACCTCTCATCCTTCTGTTTGTCATACTACCCGATACCAATATATGAAAAATGTGTTTAGTGGCTATCCTTAAACAGGGGTCAGAGGTCTTTAAATAGTGAACAAGCAGACAAATAAGACGAACACTGAATTGTTCCATAAACCTTCAGGGGTTGTTCAACTGGGTATTCAACGGTGCCTGGCTCACTGAGGTGGCTAAGTGTTGATGTAATGCCCTCATGGAGCTGACCACTCTGTCAGAGCTGACCGCTGTGTTTGTTCTTCCAGTCCCCAGTGCGCCAGTCCACTGCACTTGGCCACAGCTCGCAGTATGTGGTTGGTCTGCCCCTGGATCTGGGCGGGGCACCGGGAGAGTCGACAGACACAGACCCCAGTGGTGGGGGGGAGGTGGAGGAAGTGCTACGAGTGGAGAAGGAAGGGGAGAACTTTGTCCTTACGTCAGAGGTCCAGGTGAGTGCTTGGGGACAGGCTGGCGTTTTGACTTTTGAGTTTAAACATAAAAAAATGTTATGCTCAGTTGGAGTAAAGAGAAACACGCTGACTTGGTAATGGCCATTTAACACTGCGAAAAATCATGACAGTCTGAAACAAACTGCAGAAATTTGCATTTTTATTGCCGTTGGGCAATTTTTTTTTTGAATTTTCTTTTTTTTGGTTCAACACCTTTTATGTCCTTTTAAAAACATGTTCATACGTGGGGTTTTATTTAAAACATTGATCCAGTTCTCAAAAAGTCTAAATTTGTAGTTTCCAAGAACTCTCAAGCTTTGGAAGTCACTGAACTTTGGCGGCCATTTTCTCACAATTTTACGTCTGAAACCAGGCGACCCTCACATCCTCCAATTGCAATTTATATCTCGACTTCTATTCAAGATGGATGGGTAATTTTTTCTTCCAAAGTAAATCAAATGCAGGTGCTTTAAAAAGATACCAATAACTCCCCATGCCCAAAAATTGATGAGCGGCCTGATTCCACCAAGTCGTGACACATTTAGTATGAGTAAAAAGCAATATTATAATAATTAAAATAGTAGATTGAATTCATATAGTGCTATATATCCAATATAAATATCTTATAATTCCTCTGATTTCACTTGCTATTCTGTTTATATCTTTATTTATTAGAGCTGACTGGATCAAAAGCACATTTTGTCATTTTAACTGTGAGAATGATCACCAGAAAGAACGTAATACAAGGGCAATGGAAGAGACCTACTCCAATGGGATATAATGTTTGTTTGTTTGAGATCGACAGACAGAAGCAGCCAAAGAGTGTGCGAGGGCACAGGATAAACAATGTGTAAGAGAACGGTAGACCTTATGGTGGCATTGTTATGTGTAATTATTCACTGCGGCATCTTTGTGTTTCAGAACAAACGAGACAGCAGCGATTTGCCAAAGACAGGATTCGACTTCTTGGATGACTGGTAGTGTGGAAGGTTTCACTTGAACTGCAGCATTTTTTTTTCCTTTTTGTGACTTGGCAATCAAGAGTTTCTGCAAATGACAACTTTTTGTGGTTGGTGTGTGGTGAAGCTGGTCTACAGATCTGAATGTCGGTGATTGATAAAGCAGAAACTTCTTTCACTTACTTATTTTGTTAATATATTCTTTATTTATTGAAGCACACTCGATCAAAAACAGATTTCGTCATTCTCGCTGTGAGAGGGAGCACCAGGAGGAACATGATGCCAGGGAAATGGAAGAGACGTACTCCTGTGGGGGTGTCATGTTTGTTTGTTAGAGTGAAAAGAAGTGCAAAGATACAATTATTATTGTGTTTCTGTCTTAGACAAGTTTGACTGTGTTCATATATATAGATACATGTTTTTCCCCCCCCATGAAACGCATTGACCTTCCCTATGAGCTGTGTTCGGAAAAAAGAAGAATGGTAGAGCTGTGTTTTTTTACTGTTGCCAGGCAACCATATGTCTTATTAACTTGGATTGCCAATGAATTCTCCAATGACTGGAATTGGCATTTTATAAATATATTCAATTTTTGTATATTCACAAGTCTTTGAAGTAAGTACTCAGCAGTCAGTATACACATCTTCTTCTGTTTTTGGCACAATTTTTAAGAGAGGAAGAAAGACCCAAAAATTATACTGTGCTATTTTATTGCCCGTGCGTGAGCCAGTAACTAATACTGGGACTATGGTGTGACCAGTTGTGTATTTTCTTTCAATTTATGTGTATCTTCATGACGACAAGTGTTCGGTACCAGAAATCAATACAAGCTCTCATTTGTCCCTGTACTTTTGGTCAGTGGTGCGGTAGAAGAATGAGTCCAGTAGAATGAAATGTGCGGCTTGGAGAAATAAGGCTGCTTTTGGCACGTACTAAACAGTTTGTCTTTTAACCAGCCTTGAGTATGCATCTTAAAAAATTTTTCTCTCCCTCACAATATTCAATATCGCTTTCAAACAAGGAGTACAAAAATGTACTCATTGGGCTGGAATAAATTTTTCAATAAGTAAATCAAGACCAAAAAAAAAGGAGTTTGAAGTTGAAATAGCTTGAAGTTGAAGTTCTTGGTAGATTTACTTGTAAATAAATCGACGTATGAGGAAAGTTAATGAACTCTTCCAGTGAAAATGTTGTGTGAATATGATGACATTATTATGTTCCCTTTTGAACATGAATAGACCTATACCACTGAATATCATATATATAATATCAATTTATTCTCAATCCTCTGTGGCAGGTTTAAGTCAACTTTGAAGAATTAGAAGGTCACCTTTCGAAATCCATTCTTTTCTTGCATTGTTGGTGTAAATGTTCATTATAAGTTGCTGTCAGGAGTAATTGAAATGAATGAAATGTTTTATGCCCCATCGATACAATTTAAATTATTTCAGAGACAGGCTACTTAGACCCTGCCCGTCAGGGCTAATCCGGGCTGAGTAGGATACTGTGTTTCAGCAGAAAGATGTAGATGCTGGATTTTATAACTTCCCCATGTGGCATTGAAATGAATTTCTTCTGTATGCAATGTCAAAAAGCCTGACCTTTACAATACTGTACCATTGTCACAGACGCCAGTGTATCAGGACTGGGAAGCAAGTGCTGAAACTGTGAACTAGGTACAGTTTCTGTGGTAGTGGTAGGCACCTTCTTACAGAGTCAGTCTGCAAAATGCTCATGTGATTCTCTGCAAGTCCTGTCTTTGTTTCAATGATCTTGTCCCATGCATGTTTACTTGTAAGTGACATCACATTTCCTGTAGCAGTAATGAGGAAGTGGCATAGTGAACTGAAGAATATTGACCCAATTACAGGCATTGTTATAATAATGCAAGGGAAAAACGAGTCTAACAGACAGAAGCAAGTAAAGGAGAAGAAAGATGATCTCTTGAAAGTCTTATAAATTCATTGCCTCTTAATGGCATAAACTAGGTTTAATTTACTCCATTTATTCTTCAGTAGACATGCACATTGTAACTTCCATGTATCAATTTTGTTGTGAGTGTGTGCCTTGGTGTAAATGTTGACTAGAGGAACTGTCAGAAGGGTGAATGAAAGAAAGTTGGAAAAGTGTCGCAGAAGGTGGTGATGGATGAGAAGTATGTTTAATAAGTGGACAAGTATAACTAGAAATAAGATCCCTGGGGTCAGAGGAACAGAGGAAGACCAAAAACATGGTAGAGAATGATAGAGGTAGATACAGAGAAACTACTTAATCCTGGGCACGACTGAACAGGACAGATATCGTTGAGAAAAAGTGTTGATTGCCTTTAATCTTTGGGAAGCTCGAGAGAGAGAGAGAGAGAGAGAGAGGGAGGGAGGGAGGGGGGGGAGAGAGAGAGAGAGAGAGAGAGAGAGAGAGAGAGAGAGAGAGAGAGAGAGAGAGAGAGAGAGAGAGAGAGAGGGAGGGAGGGAGGGAGGGAGAGAGAGAGAGAGAGAGAGAGAGACTGCTGTTTGTTAAAAAAAAAAAATCCTTTCCTTAACCACAACACTTTGGATGAACTCGTAAGTAGATCTAAGGGTTTTTGTGGGGGAAGTTGTATCTAAGGCAAGTCAGGTGACTGTTGCAGGCTTGTAGCCTGGTCAGACAGAACCCAGAGTAGGAAAGAGGGAGCTCTTGTTTTGGGGTATGCCGAGAAAGTGTTGCTGATGTATGCTTGTAATATTTAGAAATGATACATATGCACTGAAATATCTTTTTATGAAAATGTTTCCTCAGCCTTGTTCTGTTATATGTTATAATTTTCTGTCTCCTTACAGCGCATGACAACGTCATTTTGTGCTCGTAAATACTCCAGTGTGTCAAGGTTAAATAAATGGCTGTGCAACAACTTGTTTTATAATAAACTAATTTATACTATTTTTTTCTGGCTTGAAGCATTTCTTTGGAACAGCAGTTTGATTGGAAAGCTTTCATACTGTTCCCATCAGTAAAAATTTCTGATTATGTGTAATGTGTGATTTTTTGGGTTATTATTGTATCAAGTATCTCTGAAATGATTGATTAGGTTTAGAGTTTGCCTCTCAATAGCCTACTCTTATGGGTTTATAGAACCCCCAAGGGATCTTAAATGTGCGCAACTTTCACATGGGACCTCTGACTCTGAGAAACAGGAGATAAAAGCAGGTGACAGAATAGGACAAGAGAATGAAAAGGAGAAAATCTTCAGAGAAGAAAATTTTCGTCGCCGTCAGGATTAGAACCCAGGACCTATTGAATTAGCGGCAAACTCCCTCCCTCTAGACCTGGAAGCCCCCCTTTCTCTCTTTTCTAAAACCAAAACTCAGCTCCTCCGCTCTATTACTATTACTGCTGTTACATATGTATCTTGGAAAAACTTCCAGACCTGACACCACCAAACCAAAGACAGGTCAGCTGGAATGCTACCCACAGTATTTTAGACCAAGTAACTGTAAGGTGGCACAAGGGAATTCAACAACACAGAGTGTGATTCTGTACCTTTGTGCTTTATTCACAATCGTCTTATTCAACATTTTCTCTTCTGTAAGTGAAGGAGCAAACACACAGTGTAGAGTCATGAGAACTGTGCAGTTCATCACTCAGCAGAACATAAAGTTCCTGATCCTTTTCTATCACTGGAGCTATTTATATCTCATGAACAGTAAGCACAGCATTTATCAACAACCTAGAGATCGAAACCTTGAGTTTAAGCTTCACAAATGGACATGAATCTTTTAAAATTACACCTGAGTCGTTTCTTTTTATTTCAATTCATCCATTTAAGTGGGGCAGTTTTTCAAAGTTCAAGCTGTCATAATTGTACAGAGATTACACATATTAAATAATAAATTAGTGTAGATTGGTTCATTAGCTATGATCAAATCTTTTGAAAATCTGTTTAGAACATTTCTAAAATAACTAGTATCATACAACAGTTAATAGCACAAGCACACTATGCTCTGATCTAGGTGCGCGAGCTGCCGGACCATGAATAGAATACATACAGTGGGGAACGAGATTCATCACAACATCGTCATCACATTTGGTGGGTCATGAACCATGGCATATGGCACCGGGGGACAAACCAACGGTCAAATCCAGAGAACAGATACAGCGGAGCACACACATGTGCGTACTGTAAGGCTGTGTGTCCACCAAAGCAGAAACGGGCCGACTTTTTGTCGGGAGGAGACTTTTCTGTCTGGTTTTCTTGCATACTTTAATTTAAGAGGTCGAACACAGGGCAGGAATATCAACCCATAAATGGAATGATAAAAAAAAAAAAAATAATGGTAAAACTGATAATATATATGCATATAGTCCGCTGATTTACATGTAGATGTTGCTAATTTTGAAGTGCTGAACATGAATATATGGTATTAGATTTTTCATCAGAACTTAAAATTATAATTTTTTTAAAAAGCTGTGTCTGGGCCTATGACTGATGAGTCAACGTGGGTCGACTAAAATACTGTGGGTAGCATTCCAGCTGACCTGTCTTTGGTTAGGAGGTGTCAGGTCATTTTAGTGGACACAGCCACACAGAATTAGTAAGGTAAAAGCCAGTGCTCTATTTGAACTAGCGGATGGCCTTCCGTTGCTTGGTTTGGTGGACACAGGCTAAATAAAAGTGGAGAATTTTTTTTGGTCCAAAGCTGACTGTGCCAAGATCACAAACACATCACCCTCACAGCTTCACTGTCTGTGCAGTAACTCCAAGAGTGGTAAAGAAAAAACATTCTATGATAGTATCGACTACCTTACTGTTTGCTCAAAGGGGTGGTATATGTATTGAAACGGTTGTAAAAGAACATTTAACTTGTAAAGAAAATAGTAGTATGTATGATACCCAGGAAACCCAAGTCGGAATCACTAACTTATGTATCATCCCTGGATCTGATTACATTGCATTGCAAACATGTTGTGTGTTTGTGTGTGTGTGTGTGTGTGTGTGTGTGTGTGTGGGAAAGTGTATGAGTGTGCATATATGTGAACACAAACATAAAACATACCTGTACAAAAAAGCGACATCAACAATGTTATATGCAAAAAATACTATGGGTATTTCTTCGAATCATATTATTCTCAAAACATTAACAAAGGAAATGAATAAATCATTTCAGAGACAAAGACAAAGAACCCTCATGATTCCACTGCAAATCACAAAAACATGAAATCCTCTCTCTCGCACTCTCATGAGTATTGTCCTCCTGAGCATTCTGTAGAAACGACAATAACAACCTGACCCCTCAAGGGACGTATTGAACAAGTGGATACCACCCCCCCCCTCCAAAACACATCTTTCTGGGGCATGAATGTCAATGAAAGTCTGGAAAAAATGCTCATGGAAGACATTTTCACACACACAAACCATTTTGTGCTTTCTCAACAAACAAGCCATCCGGGAAGATCCAACATCTCTCTTTACTCTCAAAACAAGATCTTTCCCCCATTTATTCCAGTACCATCACCACAAACATCAACGACAAATCAAACCCAGAATCAGAGAAACAAAAAAATAAATGTATATCTACGAAATCGACATATTTGTATTTGTACTGGAACAAACTAACTTTGGACTAAAATAATTATTCCTTCCATTTTCACTTCTATTAATAATCCACCTTCTGATTTGTTCCATGAAATATTGACAGTAGTTAGTATAAATCAACACATAGACCCATGAAAACAAAACTGTCTAAAGTGCCTTTACCATCCTTTGGACAAAATTGTAGTTGAAAATTTCAGCCTCTTAAAATTTGTTGTTTTTTAAAACAGAGACGTAGGCCTACTTTAAAAATTGTGTTATCCAAACTATTGTTTCCCGCCTCCTAAATGACCTAAATTGTGTTCATGGCCCGAAATACTCGCAAAGTTTTCACTGTTGTTTTCTTTCCCAATTTTGGGCAGTTCTGACACTTGAGACAAGTTTGCTCCCACTGGTCCGCCCCATGGTGCGCCCCGCCGCCCGGGGGTCCGGGGAGTCTATGACATGGGCTTGTAGTGCTCTAGAGGGTAGTGCTCCTTGTACATCTTCACGTGGGCCTTCATCTCCTCCATCTGCTGCGCGATGTGGGGCGGCATCTCGTCATACACGTCCTCAAACAGAGACTCGGGCCGGCCTCGCTTCTCGCTCTCCGCACCTGCGAAAGCTTTCATCACCTGAGGGGAGGAAAGCAGTAATTATTAATATGTAGAGCAGAACAGTCCATAGCAATATTTCATCACATCAGGGGACGAATGTAATTAAAAAAGCTAACAAAATTCTCTTTATAACATCTTATCATTTTACACAGGGCAAACATAATAATATAGCTAACAACAGCTCTATATATTATAGCAACATCTCAGTACCTCAGGCTTTGAACATTTACATTATATAGTAGGTAGCGTAAACACGGCCTCGCGGGCACTCGCAACCTTCCGACCGCGTGGTATCGGTGAAATCGGGGTAATTCCGATCGCTGTGTCTTTGCTCTTTCGCTATCAAACACCAAATGCTGTACACCTTGCAAAAGTTCATCTTTTCCTCGTTACAATGGTGTAAGTTGTTTTTATGTCCGATTATTAGGAGCTGGAGAATCGCCGACGGAAGCAAAGCCCCTCGCGGTCGGAATGCGAGGTCGGCCGGTTGAAAAATTGATACGCGTGCATTCAAATGCTTCGCGGAACGACGGATGATTAAATACTGTCTTTTCATTGGCGGAGAACAGTAGAGCTTTAAACGGACTTTCCCGTGGTGTATATTTGGCCTTTGGCGTATAAATAGAAAGCTTTTAAAAATACTGTCAAAATGTTTAAAGATCACTTTTTACACAAAATATGTAAAATACCGGCTTTGACTCACTTCAGACGGTTCACACAACAGTTGGGTGACCCCCGCCGCGACGGCTCCCACAAGCCCTGCGTGACCAACTTTGAAATTTTTTTTTCGCTCTACAAATCACGCACGGATCGCGGGACCCGCCTCGTACCCTTGTTTGGCCAAGCCTGAGCTACTTAGACTTCGTTTCGTATCTCTGGGACCCGTAGTTTTTAAGTTATTGAAGGTGAAGGACAGTGACCCCTACTGGGGTTGAACAGACTGGAACTCGAGCTTTGTTTTTTTCTATACAGCTGATAGTAATCCGACAGTCGCGTCGTAGTAACGGTCGAAGAAGTCGCATGAACAAGAATCACATAATTTCGCGGTTTTCGATACTTCTGTACGTTTGACTAGTTCTAATGTCTCAGAATATGATGTATCTGATAGTTATGATCCTGGATATGTACCCGAACACGGCCCGAGTCGTAATTTTAGGGCTAGATCTAGCACTAGTACTGGTGGTGTTGTTCGCGCAACGAAATCACAACGTCGTGCCGTACATCTGTCTCATGTAATTCAGTGCATGGGTCCGAATCAACGTACAGGCCAGCTTTTATACTTTCACCAAACACTCACACATGCATACAAATCAAAATACAACACTTTGAACTTTTATTTTTGTTGTTGTTGTGAATTTCATTCTCTGGAAATTTTTCTGAAAATCAAATTCATGCCAATTTTTATAAAATCATATAAATTAAAGTATTAGACTTAAACAACTTTAGTTTTTTATGTTAGATTAAGCTTGAATGTTTCTTTACTGTGTCAAAAAATAATTACAATAGGGTAATTCTGAGAGTTGTGGTGATTTATTGAAATACTCCAAAAAATGCCAGTCTTCAACGCTTGTGACTGGTGAAAGGGCCCAGTAGTAAGTGAGTTAAAAATATATCCATGAATAGATCAGTTCATTTTCTATTAGAATCAAGTAATCAGTTTGGAATTATTTTTCATCAATCCTTCCACGAGACTCGGAAAGCATGTGAGCCCGCACACGGGGTACACTACAGTATAAGCCGACTCGAAAAAAATTAGGCTCCATATATTTGTTATAGTGATTGTACTCTGTTAATGTGGAGATGTTTAGTGCTCTTGGTACTCTTTTATTGTCTGTCAAACATGGGGTTGCAGCCAGTGACTGACTTTAACAAATTTGATCAAATTTTAAACAACTACCATTTTCTTTAAAAATTTACTGAGAGGTTAAAGAATGGTACCAAAATGCTCAGTGGATATAGGCCTTTCAAATGGAACAGATAAATTTGGCATACAACTACTTTGAAAATTTAGTTTCTGGTACCTATATATAGCTCTAACCCTAACAACACACGTGCAAAATTCAGAATTAATTCCTCCCAAACTGAGAACACTCTTGTCAGAATGAAAAATTAGAGCTCCTTCAAAATTGAAATTAGGCTGCCTGAAAGCAAGGGGCCCTACGAAATAGTAACAACAGTTGCATACATAAAAATCAGCTGCACTGCAGGCTGAAGAATCAGCAGTTGACTACCCCTGAAATCTAGCAGGGGCACCAAAGAAGAAACACATATTTGGTGAAATTTGCACATAACGAAAAAATGTGCGCATCCCGCCAATGTCGCTATGTACATGCATGCTCGACTGTATTTCTCTTATTACCATTTTCCTCGAGTCCAGCTTCCACTGTTTCTCCTTCTCCTCGTCCCACCAGCTCTGGTTGACCATGTAGTTCCGGAGCCTGGTGATGGGGTTGTCTGACTGGTCCCAGTGGCTGACCTCGTCCACTGACCGGTAGGCCGAGCTGTCGTCAGATGTGCTGTGGTGACCGATCCTGGGAGAAAAAAAAAACCACACTCCAGTGAAAATGACAACTACAACTGACACAATAGAAAAGTACACAAGCACTCTACAGAATACAACAAACTCATATTATAATATTCTTTTTGAGTTTTTTTGCCCCCTATGTACATATAATTAAACTCGATATAATTAATAACAAGATACCCAGTATCAATGTCAATGCTCCCAGTGGTGGAGACCTGTTCCACAGCGACAAACATCACACAAATACAGGAATAATAACTTATCAACTTTACATACTAAAAACTATCACACGTATAAGCAGGAATATATGCGTAATGTTAGTCTACACACACGACTGTAAACTGGAGAGACGAACACACACGACACCAAGCATTCTAATAATGAGCTCGGGTGTAGTGTCTGACTTTTATGTTGATCCCCGAAGTGAGTAACATTAACCAAAAGCCCATGGCATACGGGGCGCTTACGTCCCGTGATTAAAAAGAGTAAGGTACAATATGGTGACTACCGTGACAATATGCGTCACAATGTGGTGGAATCAGGCACTGTACGTCAATTTCTAGGCATATGGGGTTATTGGTATCATCTTAAAGCCTGTTCATTTGACTTACTTTGGATGAAAAAAAATCCATCTTTGTTGAATAGAAGTCGAAATATTTGCGATTGAAGGAGGTCAGGGTCGCCTGGTTTCAGAGGTAAAATTAGCAAGAAAATGGCCGCCAAAGTCGGTTAACTTCCATATCTCGAGAGTCCTCGAAATAGGTACCAGAAACTAAATTTTCAAAGTAGTTGTATGCCAAATTTATCTGTTCCATTTGAAAGGCCTATATCCACTGAGCATTTTGGTACCATTCTTTAACCTCT